CATCGGGACAGCTTGAGTCCCCTCTGCTGTCCTAACCCCTCCTCTCCTTCCCATCACTGTACCCCCCAGACCTTTATTTGTATAGATTGGTTTTCTGGCCCGTTGTCCACACCAGATCAGAAGTTCCCTTCAGAGGCCGGGTCCAGTGTCCTTTTGGGTGATCCCCAGTCCTGGGGCACAGAAGATTTATGAGCACTGTCCCTGCCCCACAGAGATCCACAGCACCAGGGAAGAAACATCACACAGGGCTCATGGGCTCCTTCTGCTGCACTCACATGCCCACTCCCTTTGATTCCCATAACCTCCCACCTCACTGAACTGAGGTTGTGGTTATATAAGATGCCTGCATGGCCAGCACCTTGTTACTATTTGATAAAAGTGAGAAAACGGAAAGAAAAGGCAGCTATAGAATATGTTATCGTGTACAACATAATTTAGCCTTAGCTTCTCAGCTTTGGCTTTTTAGTACAGTTACAACTTTCTGACCCTCCATTTGGAATACTTGTCCAGGGTCCTACCTGGGTAACGTGGGACCCTGGCTCAGCCTGTCACAGGTCTTGGTTCCTTTACCCAGAGAGCTGCAGCGACATCTGTTGGCCAATTTGTGTCGGAGCGGAACCAGTTTTAATTTTTCTTGCATACATGCGCTATCTGCTGGTGAGCATGGGAAAGTTTCTTCTTTCATTTAGTCACAATCTGTTCAACAAGTATTTTATAAAGTGCCATGTGCTAAGCACTGTGCTAGGAAGAACCTGGGGGTTGTTCTAGGCACTTTATATATATTAACCCATTTTAGGCTGATGACAATTCTACAAAGTAGTTATTATTCCTACTTAGAAATAAAGAAGTCAAGGCACATAAATGTGAATGATTTGCTCAGGGTCACACTAAGAAGCCAAATTGGGTGTAGAACCCAGAGCCCACGTGCTTATACCATAAATAAGCAAGACGCTTCTTATGAGGGAAATAAACAGAAACAGAGGTTTATTTCCCTCATAAGAAGAGATGGGGAAGGATGTTTTTGACCAGGGTAGTCAGGCAGACCCATCTGAGAAAGTGGCTTACCCTGAAGGATGTAGGATCTATCAGTCCAAGCAGCAGAAACAGTGGTTGCAAAGGTGCTGAGACTGAATATTCAGATATCAGATGGGAGATCAGTTCTGGCCAATGTCCATAGCCTCCCCTCACCTGCCTAACTCCTTCTCAGCCTTCAAAACTCAGTTGAAGCAATTCCTCCTCTAAGAAGCCTGCCTTATTCCCCATCTCACTCACCCCCATTAAACATGATGACCCCTCCTTAGTGCTCTCATGGCATGCCATGAGGACATGTCAACCCCATCTCCAGTATCCCTCAACAGCAATTCCAAACCTTTGTTGTCATGCCTTATCCTCCTGTGAATCTGTGAGCTCCTTAAAGGGATTATCTTATTTATCTTTGTGTCTTCAGGGTCCAGCATAAACTCCAGCAAAGGGCACGTGCCCAGTAAATATTGTTTGTAGTCTGTGATATAAATTGTTTACTTTCTTTTTTGCTTTTTTATTGAGATACATATTTACATAAAGTAAAATCCACTCTTTTGGGCTTACAGTTGATTTTGACAATCAAGATATGGAACAGTTCCATCACCCCCCAAAATCCCTCCTGTAGTCCCTTTTAGCCAACCCTCCCTCAACCCCAGCCACTGGCAACGAGTGGTCTGTTTTCTGTCCTCATAGTTTTGCCTTTTCCAGATGTCATATAAATAGAATCATACATATTTGTCCTTTGACAAGTCTGTCTTCCTTCACTTAGTGTAACGTATTTAGGATTCATGTTTTTGTGGATATTGCTAGTTTTTCATTTTTATTGCGGAGTAGGATTCCATGGTATGGCTGTACAATAGTCCGTTCACTCTAGCTGAAGAACATTTGGGTTGTTTCCAGTTTTTTACAATAAAATTTTTTTACAAATAAATAAATTTTATAATAAATTAATGTTCACATACAGATTTTTGTGAGAACATAACTTTTCATTTCTTTGGGGAGTAGAACTGCTAAATCTTATGTAAGTATGTTTAAATCTATAGGAAACTGCCAGACTGTTCTCCAAAGTGTCCATACACTTCGCATTCCCACCAGTAGTGTTGAGTGTTCCAGTCTCCACACCCTCACCAGCACTATTTATTGAAAAGACAATTGGATTGCCTTTGCACCTTTTAGGAAAATCAACTGGCAGTATATATGCAGGTTTGTTTCTTGATTCTGGATTCTGTCCCATCTAAGGTAGATGTCTATTCTTTCACCCCTACGACACTGTCTTGATTACTGTAGCTTCATGATAATTCCTGAGATTAGGTAGTAGAGAATTCCAACTTTGTTTTTCCTTTTAAAAATTGCTTGGCTCTTCTAGTTCCTTTACCTCCCCATATAAATTTTAGAATCAGCTTGTCTATATCTGCAAAAAGACAATCCTGAAGGGATCTTGATTCAGATTGCACTGAATCTAAAGTCAGTTTGGAGAGAACTGATATCTTAACAGTATTGAACCTTCCAATCCATGAACATGGTAAATGTCTCAATTTGTTTAGGTCTTCTTTGATTTCTTTTACCAGTATTTTGTGCTTTAGAGATGTGCATAGAGATTATGCACATATTTTGTTATATTTATACCTAAGTATTTCCATTTCAGTGCTGTTGTAAATGGTGTTATCTTTTTATCTGGCATTGTCTTTTTAATTTCAATTTCCAATTGTGTGATGTTACTATCCAGAAGTACAGTTGATTTTTGTGTATTGATCATGTATCCTGCAACCTATGTAGACTCACTCATTAGTTCTAGTACCTTTTTGGGGTAGATTTCTTGGGATTTTCTATGTAAATAATCATGTTTTCTGTGAATAGAGACCATTTTATTTCTTTCTTTACAATCAGTAGGCCTTTTATATCTTTTTCTTGCCTCATTGTACCGGCAAGGACCTTTAGTAGGATGTTAAATAGGAGTGGTGGGAGCAATCATCCTTACCTTGTTCCCAATCTTAGAAGAAAATCATTCACCACTACCACACCATTTCACCATTAAGTACTGTGTTAGTTATAGGTTTTTTGTAGATGCCCTTTATTAGATTAAGGAAGTTCACTAAGGCTTTGGGTTTTTTTGTTTTTTTTTTTTAGATCAAGAATGGATATTGCATTTTGTCAAATGCCACTTCTGCATCTATCAAAATAATTTAGCAGCATCCCATAAATTTACTTATTTTTGTTTTCATTTTTATTTAATTCAGAATATTTTCTAATTTTCCATGTGGTTTTCTCTTTATTTACGAGGTTGCTTAATTTCTGAATATTTGTAAATTTTCCAGATACTTTTCTATTATTAATTTCTAGTTTAATTGTTATGGTCTGAAAACATTTTTTTTATTAAATTCTTTTAAATTTGTTATGGTATTTTTCACGCCCAGAAAATGGTTTTTCTTGGTGAATGTTCCATGTGCACTTGAAAGTAATGCACATTTTATTATTTTGAGGTGAAATATTTTATTAATATCAATTAAGTCAATTGATAATGTTGTTCAGGTCTCCTCTATCCTTACTAATTTTCTGTCTTCTTGCTCTACTGATCGCTGAGAGAGGAGTCTTGTGGATTTGTATATTTCTCCATTCAGTTCTATCAGGTTTTGATTCAAAAACAAATACTTCTCCCACATTTATGGTCCTGTTTAGATGGCAGGGCACTCCTTCTCAATTGTGGTATCCAGACCAATATGATTATTTTTATTTTTTGGATGAGAAGATTGAGGAAGAGCTGGTGATTTGCCTATTTGGTCTCAGATCTAATACCCTGAACTTCTGCTCTGTATTACAGGGCACCGACCATGGCAAACCACATTTCCCAGGATTCCTTGAAAATCAGCTTTTAATTAGATTGTTCCAAGAGTAGGCATGGGCATGAAGTTAGGGGGCAGGAAGAGGGGAGTAGTTTTTCTCACACTCTGCTTTGGGTAGCATCCCCAGCAACAGACGCGTTTCTCCTGTGGTCTGAATTCCTCAGATACCTTCCTCAATGTCCCTAGTTCCTCAGGTGTGTCACTCCTCATCCTGTCCTTCCACCTTACAGGTGGTAGTGGTTTCCAGTTACACCTAATCTCTGGGTTGCCTCACATCCCTTGCCTCACTTGCCCTTTTAACTCTTGCAACATTATAACCAGTTTCATCAGTAAAATCCCTGCTACTGAAATATGGGAAGAGGCTATTTCTCTGGACTCAGACTGATACAGACCACATGGGAAGGCAGAATGAGAGCCCTTAGCTGAAGCCTCCTGATTCAAATGTCAGTGTCTTCCCACTACCCTTCTCTGGCCTAAAGGAGCTTCAGAGGAAAGAGACCACCTTCTGGCCCACCAGGAGGGCAATGCTTTGATCTAAGTTACACATTATTTTAGAGGAATGTAAAAACAAATTCTTTTTCCTACATAATCAATTTTTTTTTGAGAAAGCCATCTCACATTCATTGGCATCCTCCTTTTGTGTTAATGCAGCCCATTATCATTTAGAACTTTGAATCTGCCTCACATATATCCCCACTCTTCCCATGTGTTCTTCTGGAACAGGCATTGGGTAAGTCATGGCAAAGTGAAGTGACTTCGGGGAGACCCAGCAGAACAGGAGATGAGAACTGAATAAGACCCAGGGCTGAGACCGGGGCAGGATTCCAGCTGGAGTGGTTGGTGATGCCAAAGGGAAGATGGGATGGCTTTAACCTGAGAAGCAAACCAGGGGTCCTGGGATCCAGTGATGTCTGGCCTTCCCCAAGGCCAGAAGACTGGTACATGGGGAGGGTGGCTCTTTGACAGTTTCCAGAAGGAGGTGCAGAAACCAGGTTGGAGGTGAGGCCACAGAGAAGGGAAGACAACACCTGACCCAGCCCCAGGTCCTCTCCAATATTCTGAGGCAGTAGGGCAGGATTTGCTGATCTAGGTCTTGCCATGAGCTAATAAGACAGAAATGAATGCACACCCAGCATCTGTCACAAAAGACCTTTAATGGTCTCCTATTTATGGTTCTCTTGTTCATTTGTCCTGTTAGAGTTGAATAAACTGTAATAACTTATCTGACATAATAAGGAATGCCACAGTACAACAGATAAACCTGGCAGGTGGCCCAGGAAAGAGGGTGTCACAAAATAATCACTTAACAGAAGGGCTACAGACCTGGAGACCTGTCCCAGCCACCTGTCACTCCCTGCGTCCAGGATCCACAGTCACTGTGCCAGGCTGAATGCTGGCTCCCATTGGGTAGGAAGAGGCAGGTCTCCCATAGCGTCTGTGGCTAGACCTTAACACTGAGCAGAGATGCCCCGGAAAGATGGCACATCCCATACTCATTCCCCCAAGTGCTCTGCTGATCTGCAGTGCAGGCCATGACCACACCCCAAGTTTGTGCGGCTCCCATCTCTCATAGGACACTACTTATCATACCCCGCTCCATGACCTCTCCTTGCAGTAAGCTGTGAGGTGGACAGAGTCTGGCACAAGCCCCATCTTACACATGGGGAAACTGAAGTCAGTGGGGTTCCCAAAGGCATACTCGGACTGAACACAGAACACTTTCTCCCATGCCACATGGTCTGCTGTGCCCTGAGCCTCACATTTTCACCTGGAATGCCCTCAGTGGGGGGCCCAGGCAGGATTCTGTGTCAAGGGCTGGTCCAGGTCTCACCAATGTGCCACCCCTCAGTTAGCCTGGTGGGGGACCCGGCCAGAGGGGCAGGCCGGCAGAGACTGTGGGAGACTGTGGGTGGGGGACCAGCATCTCTTCAGGGATCTTCCTGTTGTCCACACACTAGCTTGTCCACAGATGTGGGAGTGGAAGCCTATTAGAATTGCTCAAGGGAAACTGGCTGCTTTAAAGGTCTCTGGAGGGACCATGTCCTCACGGAGGGACTTCTATCGTAACATCCCCCCTCAACATTTTTGTAAGAACCTGGATGTCCATCCATCTGGCTGTATGTAAAGAGGAACCTAAGTCTAGTTCCTCCTTCTCCCATCACGTGTCCCATAGGCCTGAATCAGGGAAGTGGGGTGCAGACACAAGTCCTGGGGTGGGGGCTGGGCCTATTTCCTTGCTCCACCATCCCCCACCCTGCATGGGCTGATATCAAGGTAAGACCAATCCTCACTGAGCACCAGGCCCCTGCCCAAATCAAACCCAGGCCAGAGCTTCAGGGTGGGTGAGCTACAAAACCGTCCAATGTGTACGTGTGTGTGTGCATGTGTGTGTAAGCAAGTGCGTGGGCCTGCGTCTGCAGCCCAAGGTCCAATACAAAGCCACTTTGTACTGGAATGCTAAAGCCATTCCAACATGAAAAGCAAGAAGAGAACCTGTGCTTGCTGGTTGAAGATCAAACCTCAGAACGGTGGTTTGAAGAAGCTTTTCTTCAAAAGTTTGAAGGTGGAACCTCAAGAGGCAAGACAGATAAAAGCAGAGCTGTCCTGGCGGAAGTGGGGATGGGGGAGAGCTGGAGACCTAGCCTTTGCCTCCACCCCCATCGTCCCACCTTAGCAGCCCCTGGCGAAGCTCTGTGAAACCCAGGGGTTCCACGGCACCTGGTTTGAAAACCGCTGCTTCAGAGTGTCTATGGGTCCTGGGTCCTGGGGACCTGTGCTTTGATTTCCCTTTCAGAGTGCAGAGTTGGGAGAGAGTGCTGGGGGGGGCTCCCCCTTCGATGGGCCTCTCATTGAAGCCACGGTGCAGGGACTCTGCAGGGGAGTGGACGAGGTGGGGACCCTGCCCCACAGGCAGGCCACTTCAGTCCTGGAGGGAGGACAGAAGCGATGGACCTGCGTGGATGAGGATGGCAAAATGCCATCAGACTGCTCAACGCAGGCTTGTGCGTGAGGGTCAGGAGAGTCTGTTTTGGTCCTTGTTGACTTTAAAAAGAGAGAAACATCAGAACAGACACAGGCCTGTGCCTGTGAGACCAAGATTGGGGCCAATGCCTTCCTCGGGGATGGCTGAATGTCCAGTCCCCAGTCACTGGTAGGAGAGGCTGCCTTTGTGGGGCGCTGGAACCATGGGGAACGAACGGGTCAGCTCTCAGGGGAACAGGCCTGGGTTGCCCCTGGGTCCAAATCCCTTCCAAGTATCACCAAGGAGCATTGGCGGCTGTGCTGATCCTGGAGGGGCCTTCTACTTCGAAGGGCAATTGCTAGTCTACCTCACCCGTGGGGTTCTTTGATGGAATAGTGGCTCAGCCCTCCCGGGGCCTGGAGGTGGGTGGCTCTCCGTAATCTGGGATCAGAGCCATGGGGGGATGGGGGCAGCTAGCAACAGCCAAGGAGCCCTGAATGCAATGGCCCCCATTCTTTCCCCTTAGAACTTTCACCTGACCAGGAGCTTCTTGGGCTCTGTGGAATCTGAAAGACGGGAGATGGGGGTGGCACCAGGGCTGGGAGGGTCCAGGATGCCCCCAGCCCAATCACTGGCAATATCCATGGTGTGTCTCGCTGTCATGACCTCTGGGACCACTCACTATCTGTGGGCAAGGCATTCCTAAGCAGTGTCCACATTTTCAAAGCCAAACGGACTGCATCTCCTCCTGGCTGACGTCTGCCTAAGTGAGAAGGGGGCAAGAGATGAAGACTGGCGGGAGGAGGACGCAGCCTGCAGTGATCTTCCTGTGTGACCCTGGGCTACTGCTTGAGCAGCCATCTGCAACTTACAGAGCTGACTTTCGTCTCATGTGGGCTTCAGATTCCTTGAGTCAGGTGGGGAAGAGATTACAGTCTCATTTTCTAGTTAGGGAAACTGAGCCCAAGAGGTTGAGTGACTTGCTCACTTAAGGCTACTCAGCTGGTTGGTGACAACTAGGCTGGAGACACTGTGCTTCTAGCCCAGCATGCTTTCCATGGCACCATGTGGGAACCAGCTTGTCAGCAACAAGCCGAGCAGCTGAAGCAACACCCCCGCAACCCAGTGTGCCCACCCTTGCCGTCTGTGCTTTGAGGCTGAGGCAGCCCATGGAGTCCGACCGAGTAATTCAGCCCTTCTCTTCACAGGACTTCACCATTCTCATGGTTGGAAAGCTGAGGAAGCCCAGCTGGCCTCTGCCTGTAGGTTTTCACCCAGCGCCATGCTTCTCCCACCTTCCCAGACCGATCTCTCTAGGCCACCCACATGGGCCACTGGAAGGTACCAGTGCGGAGCTGTGGGGTCAGCCCAGAGCCAACACTGTGGACTGGTGCCTGGGGCCCGGTGGGGCTCCTTCACCCCCCCCTTTCACTCCAATTTCATTCCCCAATCTCACCTGGCTCCAGGCAGGCTGACTCCAGATGGAGAGGGGCCCTGCACAGGAGGACTGGGTCATGGTTGGGGGGCTGCCAGTGGAGTGGGGTCTGGAGCCAACCGGAAGCTTTGAAAGAAGATCTGGGTCTTTCTCTCAGGAAGAGGCCCAAGGAAACACTGGCCTGTGCTGCACTGACTGGGGCAAGTGGGGCTGAACTCCAGCCTGTGCGCCCTTCTCAAAGCCGTGCCTTCTAACATGGACTGAACCCACCTGGAAGGGGCACGGTTTCTTCTTCACATCAAGGCACTATATGGACTAGCAGGAGCCAAGGAGCCCTGAATGCAATGGTCCCCATTCCTTCCTCCTAGAACTTTCACCTGACCAGGAGCTTCCTGGGGACAGGGACTGCCCTTCTGCAGCCCTGGGCCCAAAGAGCAAAAGTCTAGATGGGGCTATGATACTTACCGCGGCTGGAGAAATTTCAGTCAAACACTGGGATAAACCCAAAAGGGTGAGTGTGGTGTTGAGGTGAAGAAGCCAGAAACCAGGCTGACAAATCTTTTGTGTGCACAGGTGAGGGATGGAGGAAGAAGCTGGTCTGTAGGGGAGTGATCCCCCAAATCCTAAAGGGTCTCATACCAGCCTTAAATGTTCCAGAGGAAGACACTGGAGGGCATATGCTTGGCATGTGTTCCAGCCCTTCATCAACTCTTCAGCTGTCCAATGAGGTGTGAACTGCCAGCAAGCTCTGGTAGGGGTTGGATGACGGGGGCACCCACAGCTAGGACCCCAGAGCTGGCCAGGAAAGTATGACTGCCACAAGCTGACTTGGGCCTGACATGGGGTAGTGCTCCCTAGAATTGCAGCTTCATGAGATTCAGAAGGGGAAGGGCTGGGGTGCAGTGCCAGGCTTGTGAACTAGGTACTCTCGCCATGGATAATGGTTACCCAGCCCACCCCAGGAGGGGCTGGACTGAAAAGGGTGGAGTACCCATAATATTTTGTTGTCTCCTTTTTCAGGCAAGTATGAGACAGAGATAAAAGGGAGCAGGGATGGAGGAGAGATCCACTTGCCCTGCTAAGCAATATATTTGCTTGGGTATAAGGTGAATCTTAGGGGGTCTGCCTCCACAGGGAGCTGTGAGGTACCCAAAGCCCTGTCATAGCAAATCCAAACTTGGTCTTCTAGAATACTCGAGCCCTATGGTCAAGCAGCTCACGCTAGCTATGGCTGCAGCTTGACATCAGATGACCCTCCAGCGGCCCAAGAAGGTCCTGGGAAGGGGTGGGTTAGGAGCTCTCCATGGCCCTGCTACCTCTGGGGCTCGGTGAATCACCTCTGGAGGCAGACAGACCAGAGTCAATGGTCTGCATCTGGCTCCACCCGTCATACCAGAAGCTCTAAGGTTTACAAGTTCTTGGAGGCCAGAGCTGGGAGGTCCCTTTGTGATCATCTGGTCAAACCCTTCGGTCTTCTAGGTGAAGAACTGAGGCCCAGAGAGAGAAAGGAACTTGCCTAAGGTCATACAGTAAGTGGGCATCAAAGGCCAGACAAGAACGAATACCTTTTATCACTTTCTACCTCATCATCTGCCTGCCCCATTGCCTAAAAATGCCCCGGGTCCCAATCACACCAACACCAGCCAATGGGTACTGGGCATCCATGACACTGGGAACTACTGGGGGGTCATTAACTCCCCAAGGAAATGAAGGGTTCCTTGCTACCCAGCAGCCCCCTTCCTTTTAGGGGAGGGCATCTTAATGGGCCATGCCACCTCCTGGGGCAGGAGGCCCTTTGACTGTGGGCATGGCGGCCTCGAGCATGCTCTCCCAGCCTGCAGGGCCAGCCCAGCTCAGCCCTGGAGAACTGTGAGGGGAGGTAGTAGGGTAGCGTTGTCCCCAGCCCCATCTGGACCTCCAGCCTGACTTCTCGGGGGACCACTGATTGCTGTTAAGTCTGCAGAGGAGGGAATAGAGCAGATGCTCATCTTCTTGCCCGCAAACCCCATCTCTCAGAGTCACCCTTCAGGAACCTCCCCCCCACCCCAGGAGCTTGGGCTCACTATACAGCAGGTTGGCGCTTTGTGAAGACCCTGCCCTTCTCTCTCGGTGCATGTGTATAGAGAGGACACACACATTAGATAAAAGGTAGCTAGGATGTTACATCCTGATAGAACTGAATCAGACTTGGGCTTGTTCCCACAGCTTGCCTTAGACTGGGTAACTGCTGGTAAGAATGTCAGTCCAGTGGCTTTTCTCTACTCCTGGGGTCTGTGAACCTTCACCAATGTCACTGTCAGACGCAGAGGGACACAGGATGGGGACGGAGGGGTGGAAAGGGAGAGGTGTTTGGTGGGTCCGGACCGCAAAAACGTACTGAGAATCTATCCACAGGTGTGCCCCTCCCGGCCAGAAGAGGGTGGCCCTCAGTGCGGTGATCTTTTAGCTGCCAGAGCTATGCCAGCCACCTGGGGCCGCGGGCACCCTCTCATGTGTCTTGAGCCCTCTGCCCCACCCTCCCCGTTCTGCTCCCCATCCCAAGTCAAATCCCAAGGCCAGAGCCCAGATGGCCTTTCTGGGGGTCAGCAGGAAAAGAGAAGGGGCTGGAGGGGTGACCCGTAGGAGGGGTAAGAGGGAGAAGGTGATCCCTGGGGCCCTGTCGGCATGGCGATGTGGGGCCAACCCTGAGGCCAGAGGTTCACCACCGTGACCTGGAAGACCACTGGGTGCCCCCTGGTAGGAACCAGAAGAACAAGGGGGCGGGGGAAGGAGGGCAGGAAAAAGACAAATAAGCATCCTAGTGCATGAGCGCGGCCCTGGAGCTGCCTGGAGGGAGGGCCGGCCCCAGTCTATCTGTCGTTGAGCTGTGGCGAGCCAGTACCATCCTCCTCCTCCTCCTTGTCATCCTTCATGCCTTTCAGTCTCTGGCGGGCAAAGTCCTCAAACACGATGTCGTCATCGCTGGTGGGAAAGACAAGGAAAACGGGGTGTGTTTGCCAGGCAGGGAGAGCAGGCTGATCCAGAGGGTCAGATGGGACTCAGAGGCCGGCCCCTGGGGTTGACCACGGGCAGAAAGGCCTGCCAGGCTGGCACATCTAGATGCCCTTCGGTGACAGTGGGACTGGTCACATCCGGACTCCAGCTAGTTGTGGAAATACCAGAGGGATGCATGAGTTTGACTCTAATGCCTAAGGGCTGGAGAGTGACCCGGTTCTTGAGGATTTGGGGGTGGGGGAGATATCAAATAGGGATGGAGGTGCAGTGTAGCTGGGTGGGGCCAGAGGAGGAACTCAGTCCTACTATGGGAGGCCAGCCCACCAGTAGTTTCACAGCATATTCTGAATCCCCCAGAACCGGCCCAAGAAACCCTAAGCACCCACCCAAAGAACCACCCTCAGGAAGCATTCCTGTTTCTGCACAGGACGGTGTGGGCTTGGCTTAGCGGAAGAGAAAACCATGAATGCCCTTTCTCCAGGGAGCTGTCAGCTCACTCTACCCTGAGGGATCTTGGATAGGAGGGGGTCTGGGGGCAGCAAATCTGAATAGCGGGGCAGAGGAAGGGTAGGTGGGGAGAGGGGGTGCCTGAGTGGGGTTTCAGGACGAAGGACTTCTAAGAACAGTGATTTCTGTTCTATCATATAACATGTACACTTAGGCCCACCCAAGTCCCCCGCCCCACAGAATTCAGCCAGCCCCATGAGGTATCCTCATGGGATGACTTGTGACTCCACATCCCAAATATCTCCTGGGGGACAAGGAAAGGGTGGATTTGGAGCTGGAAAGAGAAAGCTGCTTGGCTCTGGAGGTGGTTCATGAAGTCAGCCTAGGTCCTCCCCCTCTGGCCACTGTCCGGTGAGGCGATGGCCTTTGACCGCAGGGAAATCTCCATCAGTCCTCAGGAGTCAGAAGCAACAAGATCCCCCAGAACCTTCCCCACCCCACAGCCTGATTCCACTGGCTGGGCGTGGGCAGGGCAAGAAAGCCCAGCCCAGGGCCCCGAACCAAACCAGCCCTGTGAGAGCCGAGCAGGCGCTGTGGATGGACGAACGGACTGACGGACGGACGTGCAAGGACGAGGGAGGAAGACAGACCCCACCAAGGCAGGAGGAAGAGGACCGGGCACGGAGGGTCCTTCAAGTCACATGCAGGCAAGGGGGTTGCTGAAGAGGCGAGCAGAGGCAGCTCTCAGCAACGGGTTAGACCAGCGGTTCCTCAGGAGTTAATAAGCATATATGCAAATGATCCCATCGCCCCGCCCTGCCCTGCCCCAGCCCCCCGCCCCCCAAACGTCTGCAGGCAGGGTTTGGCTTACTTTGTGTCAAGTTCTATGAGATTGGTATCTACTGGCGCCTCGTTCTCTGGAACTAAACACAGGGTGGGCGGACGCCCATGGGTTAGTGGGGAGTGGGCATGGGGGCAGGTATGCACAGGTCCCTACGCTAGGGCAACCAAACTAAGATGGGGAGGGCTAAGGAAGAAGGGAAGTGGGCAAGAAGGGTTGGTCCCTGATCTTGAACACACCCCTAAATCATCCTAAAGGCAGGAAGGAGAGTCCAGGGAGGGTCCAAGGAGGCCCCAGAGGCCCGTAGCAGCTCCAGAAGGACAGAAAAAACTCTGGACCCTGCTCCTTTGGCATGTTTCCTGCATGACCTAGATTCTTTCCTTAAATACATGACTTTCATTTAGTGTTAAGACAACCATGATTATTTTGTTTTCACTCTCACATCTCTGAACCTGGGTATGTTTCATAATCAATGGCATTTCATAGTTTAATTGCGGGAACATCTTTCTTTCTTTGTGGCACAGACTATTGTGTTGTCTCTTTCAACTCAAACAGTCTTAGATTTAAGGAAACATGACCAATCTGGTATCACTTGGAAAAATCATTAAGATGTGTCCAGGGGCCATCATATCTGTGCAGCCCCTTCCCCCATGCCTGGACGCAAGACAAGAGCTCCAAGCATGGCCAGTGAGTTCCCTCCACTCCCAGCCTCCCTCCCCATGGAGAAAGGAGTCAGACCTCTCTGCCTCTTGGGGGAGTCAGATGCAAATAGAGGAGTGTGGGCCTCACAAAAGATCCTGGGGTGCTGAGAAAAAAGAGCGACCCTGGGCTGAAGGCTAACCCAGAGTGAGATGGGGTGATGGGGAGAGACAGCAGCTGATGGAGAACGGGGTCAACAACCTGGAAACTCCCACTCCAGTGACCCGCAGATCCTGCTTACCTTCACGATGTGGGGGTTCCTCTTTGGGCTTGGGGTGCATTAGGGTGAAGGGCAGTTCCACGGCCACGTCACTGAAACAAGACCCAGACCCAGTGAGCCTCAAGCTCAGTCTCAGGCTAGAAGACTCAATGCCCTATCAGTTTGAGGACTGGGGAGGGTTTTATGGTCAGAGGAGGTAGCTCTCAGTTGAGGCAGGGAATCTGGACTCAGGCCCCAGTTCCGCCACTCCCTGAACCTTACTCCCTCTAGGAGTTGAATTAGAAGACTTTTCTGCTATCTCCCAAGAGAAATGGAAACCTCCCTTTTCCTGATAAGGATCCCTGGATTCTCATGAGCTGAGAGGCTTGGGGTGGGAAAAGAATTGCCCAGGGCAGTCTGCACATTGGTTCCCGCGTGGCTCCAGAGGTGCCCCAGGACCTCGCAGGCTTCAAACCGCCACAGCCAGCCCAGCCTTCCCTAACACTGCCCTTCCAGGCTTCCTTCCGGCCCTTTCCCCCTCCCCCCTACTCAGTCCCACCTCCCAACATCCCCATGAGGCTCTTGTAAAAGTGCTCCAGGGGCCCTAGCCCCCTGCCATCTGGATGATGCACTGCCCAGGTCATTTTAATCAAATTCAAGCTGTATGGGGGCAGGCCCCAGGGCTATCAACATTGTGCTTAGAGCCTTCCCTGAAGCCCTGTAGGGATGGAGGGTCTGGGTGGTGGGGAAGAACAGGGGAGGTGCGGACACAGGCCAGTGCTTCTGACCAGGACTTCCCTCCCCTTGGCCCTGATGAGCAAAATAATAACAAGAGCAGACATGGTGCTGACTCCATGCTAAGGACTATTCTAGAGTAGCTTGGTTAATCTCCACAACAATCCCATTATTATACCATATGTACAGACTAGGAAACCGAGGCACAAGGAGGAAATATACATTACTCAAGGCCACACAACTATTAATGGGATGTGAGAGACAGAATTCTTTTTTTTTTTTTTGGAAGTGAGAGATAGGATTCTGACTCCATAATTCACATCCTCAACCACTGAGTGACAACAGCTCTGAATTGAAGAGGTGATTCCTACCCATCGTCTGCTCTCTACTCCTAGAGAAGCAGCCACGAAAGCTCCTCCTCTCAGCTTGGGGTGAAGCCCTGCCAACTGTGAGCACCTCATCTTACAGACTTGCTGCCCTGGGCCCAGGTGGCAGGGGGGAAGGGAGAGGAGAACAGAGCAGGCAGGGACAGAGGCTGTGCAACCAGAAAGGTCTGTTGCCAGGCCCAGCACTGTCTGGGGGGACACTTTTACATCCTCAGGTCTCACTGAGCTCATCTGGAAAATGGGGATAACAATACTTAACTTCTAGGAGATGATGTAGGTAAAAGGTTTGACTGAACTGTGGAAACTTGCACCTGCCAGAATCAATCTTTACTTCCCCTCAATGGGGACATGGGGGATTCATAGGTTATCGAAACAATTTGGCTTTTTTTTTTTTTTCTTTTTGCTTGCAAAGGGGATTGCTTTTCCAGGTTCACTTGGAAGAGTAAGCTAACAGAAGGGAAGAATGAGTTTGCCAACCTTTGTGAAAGCCATACAGCATATGGATGGAAGAATCTGGACATTAACCTTCCAGCAGGCCATGAGTGATCAAGGGCAGGGGGTAGGTCTGATTCTTCCCTGGGACCTCAGCATTGCAGCACAAGGCTGGGCACAAATCTGGATTCCAGAAATCTTTACTGAATTATATTGAACTGAACTCAATTGAATTAATTTCACCTCTCCAAATAGCCTGATTTCCCGGGATGAACACTACTGCCACCTTGTGACAGGAGGAGGCAAAACCACTGCCCGTGCCTGTTTTGGAAGGTGCATGGCTCCAGCTGGCTACAAGGGACCTTGTGTACAAGAGCAGATCTCCGCAGGACCTCTCCCTAGCAACACATGGCCAGCAGTTAATTCTCATTACTGTACAAGTCTGGAAGCCATGAAGCCTGCATTTCTCCAAAACAGCAGACTTTGGGGTTGGGGGGCGCTATTCCCCCAGATCCAGGAAGCTGACTTTGTTGTCTGCAAAGGTTCCTGTCACTTGGGTGGAACAGAAGAACAGGGCAAGGTTTTTTAAAGGAGAAACTGCATCTCCCTAGTCCCTCTGGAGAGGATTCTAGTCCCAGCACATATATGCCTGAGCCTGGCCATCGAAAGTGACTGCTAAGACTTCCAACCCAGTGCCCTACAATTCTAGACGGTCAGCCCAGTGGTCTCTGGACCTTTCGGGAAGGTGGGTGGATCCGGTTGAAGGGAGGGGCTTTACCTGGATGCAAGGTCTCCCAACAGGCTGGGTGGGTCAGAGGAGACGGGAGAGATGGTCAGGAGAGAGTTCAGAGAGGAAGAAAACAGAAAGCATGTTCATTTACCACCTCGCTGCCTGCAGGGGTAGGACAGACCCTGAGACGAGCTCCCACCCACCTCTGTGTGGCTGTGACCTCTCATTCAGAGATACAGAAAAATGGCATTAGCCTTGCCTGGGGGACTGAAATCCAGGCCCAGTTCAGCCAAACCCCCTCGCGGAGACCTCGCTGAGCCCCCAGGATCCTCCTCTGCAAAGGAGACATGACAGCTGAGCTCTGTGTGGCCTGCACTGGGGAGGCCTCTCTGATGGCAAGAGAAATCAGTTTGGGATTCACCAAGGATTCCTCAAGGAAGAGCTCGAGGCAGACTGTGGGTCCTGCAGAGTCACAGGACACGGGATTTGGGATTTGCAAGTCTGAGATGTCCTATAATACGCGGTCAGTATTGGATACTACCACCTACGTAGGGCATTGTTCTAATGTCTAATGCTATTAGCTTGAAAATCTTTTCACAGAAATCTATGAGTCAGACAAAAAGCCCTGTGGCAAATTAGAAATCCGAATTCTGGGTTTATGACAACATGCAGGCCCCATCTGTGGGGAAAAGCTGTTCTGAGCCCCCACCTTTGGAGGTGGGGCACAGACTATGCTCCGTGGAGGGAATATGTCTGGTCCACTGCAGTGACCCCAGCACCCAGCCGATGACCTGAGGTTAGGGGAGGAGATTTCAGGAAATGTTTGGAGAACGGTCTGGGCCTCTGCTTCCCCATCTGTAAAGTGGGAAAATTCAGAACACCCCTAATCCAGCTCTGCGATTCTGAGCCCCTTTTAGCCATTTCCTCAGCAGATCAGCATGGGCGTGATGAGGGGACAGAACCCTCTAGAGACCCCACAGCATAGATTCTGAGGAAGCTTCCCCCCCGCAACAACCCCATGTGCCCAGACAGGGATAGGGAAGACGAGAAGGGGTGGAAGGAGAGAGAGACATGGAAAGGGCAGGGGAGGGATCAAAAGCCTCTGAAGTGGGCAAGGGAAAGAGGGCAGAGGAGGAGGAAAAGGAACATGTAGGAGGAAGAGAAGGAATGGGAAGTCCTCAAGCTTGGTTTACCCTCTTGGTGGATGCAGCTAAAAAGGTCCAGCAAACAGGCAGAATGGGGCAGTGGGCTGCAGGTGGTCTGGGACACCCCCTTCTGCACTTTGGAGTCTTGGGCTGGGCTAGGACACTCACCCGCCCCGAGATACCACCAGCTTCACTTTCACTTTGTAGGAAACAATGATGCCCAGGATCTCCCGGTTGGCTCCTTCCCTCAACCTGCAAGGTGACATAGGGAAACAGGTTCACGGACGATCACTGGGTGGAAGAGACACGGCAGTGGTGGGGTGCAGTGGGGGCAGTGGCCATCCGTCCCTCTCCTGGGCCACTCAGCCACCATGTACAAACGGAGCCCAGGATATGAGAATGGGAAGCTTTGCCCTGAGTGGGTGGGAACCTGGAGCCCTGGGTCCCCTATCTGGCCGTGAAATTCACTTGCCGGGCACACCTGATAAGCCCCTTTCTTCCCTGGGCCTGAGTCCCAGCAGCTCGGGGAGGGGTGCGCTCTTTCTGCCCTTGGATGGATGGATGCTACCTCTCCCACTATTCAGCAACCCATGGGGCACAAAGGGCTGGACAGGGAGATCAGAGAGGGAGAGGACGGTTGGCAAGGCAGGGGAGGAGGTATTGGGGAAGACCCTGCAGGACGCGGCCCCTCAACCAAGTCTTGAAGACAGGTAGGATTTGACCAGGGTGGAAGAAGAGGGCAAAGGCTCGGAGGCGAGCGGCTAGCACGCCTGTGAACAACCGTGTGGCTGGAGCACAGGGCCCACATTGGGAGTCAGGGGCAGGGGTGCTGCAGAGGCGGGCCAAAGCCCCACTGAAGGGCCAGACCTCAGCAGGTAGGGTGAGACCAGTTCCCCACACCCCAGGTCTCCATGAGGGCAGGGTAGCCTCTGAGTCAGTGATGACCACGAGGCAGGAGTGATCATATGGCCCAGGGATCCCTTTAAGGGGCACACCAACATCTGGTTTAGCCCAGCTCACTGTCCACATCTCCCCAGACTCCCCATCCACCTCCTGATTCATCCTTTCCCGCCGAAGCCCCTCCTTTCCTTCCAGCCTTGCTCTGCCTCAGGGACACACCCCATCTGACTCAAGACACTAGGTCAGGAGCTGCTGCCTCCTGCAGGAAGCCTCTCCGGGTTGCTCTCCCCTGGGCAAGCCAGCAGAGCCCAGCACTGACAGAGGGAGCTGGGTCTAGGTGCTGATTTGGCTCTCTGGGTCAGCCCTGGATAGCGGTAGGAGTAAGGGGACAGTTCCCCTACAGTTCCAGCTCCTGAGGACAGGCCAGGGACCATGCTTGCAGAGAGGGTGACCGCCACATGGACTGGCACTGGTGGGAAAGGTGGGTGTGGACACCCCGGGGGGGCAAGGAGGAGGGCGGGTGGGTCCTCACAGGGTGCTGGAGGCCAGGTTCGTGTCTTCATGCTTGAGCTTCCCGTCCAGGGCAAGGCCCCGCTTCTCTCGGTTGTTGGCCAGGAAGGGCGTGAGTGTGTAAACCTTGCAGAAGGTTGAACTGGGGGCCACGGTGTCACTGGGAAGAAGGGAGGCGGGTGTGGAAACATGCCCCAGAGGCAACCTCCCAGCCGTCACCCCCAGGCCAGCCAGAACAGTTCAGAGGCCACAGAGTAACACTGAAAACACGTTTGTAACTTTCCAAAATACTGAGTGCTATTAGATGTCCATAAACATGTATACATGAATAATTACACCAAATGCACTTGCCTCCCAAAAGGAGGCAGGGCCAGGAAACAACAACAACAACAACAACAACAACAACAACAACAGATGTGTCTTCTAACGGGAGCATCTACTTCCTTTATGTGAGAAAAGATGTTTCATTTGAGATCTCTTCTCTTGCCTTAGCTGCTAACAAACTCGAGACAAAAATTCCATGCTCAACCACAGTAGCTACCCTCAAACCTAGATTTTTTAAATATAATTACTCTCTACCTTTGCACATACAACGCCTTTTACCCAATGAGCTGGATTATTCTTTTATCAGACAAGAAAAGCTATGTACCTAGTGCCTTTCCCTCTTTGCCTAGGCTGCCAGGAAGCTCAGAGCAAAATCTGCTCTTTAATCTAGGTTTCTGGCACAGTGTAATTACGACCCCAGTCCCCTTCGATTCATTAGCTCTCATTCTGTCATTCTAGTTTGAGTGGGTCTTTCCCTTGACTGTAGCATGCATTTTCTTATATCTAAAGCAAGTGGATGTTTTCTAAAAGGCTGTTTGGGATCATCTACAGTGAGTGGCCAGGAAGTCCAAGGCCCAGCCCTCTGCCAGGAGGAAAAGAACCATGTGCATCTGTAACTGCAGCCAGGGCTTCTCTTTTCCCCACCCAGTCCCACACATCCACGGCTGGGCTTGCGCTCACTTACTCGGCCTCTTCCATGGCCACAGGGCACTTGTACTGGGCTGTGTTAAAAAGGCAGATGTCCGCATACTGACGCACTGGGAGGAAGAGGGAGACAAGGTGGTGTGAGCCTTGGGCTCCCACTCCCAGGCATCCCAGGCTCCCTCAAGTTGGGGATGTTCAGCCCCGGGAATGGCCAGAGTGCTCTGGGGGATTCTTCAAGAGACCACCCCTGTCTGCCACTCAAAGGATAGCCCAAACACACACATTCCCTTCCATCACCAAAACTCTCCCTTAGGGACAGCTTTGCCCAGAACCCCCAAAGAACCTAAGAGTAGGTGGCTTGTGCAGTAAACTCATTACCTGACCAATGAGCAGCCTGTGTTACTAGCCTCAAAAGACTTCCCTTTTGGCTAAGAGGAGGCCCCGGGGCTTCCCTGCAGGCCAGTAGTTATCCACAAGTCTGTTAACAAGGGGAGAGCCTTCAGCTACCCCCAACCCTTGGCAGGATTCCTTCTTGCCCGTCCCCTGGGTTGGCCCTCTGCCCAGGGTACCCGAGATCTTGATCTTCTTCACTGTCTTGTTGGTGTTGTTGGTGACGTGGACATTAACGCTGATGGGTTCTCCGTGGTAATAGATCTGGGAGGCAGAAGAAGGGAGAAGGGTTGGACCGGAGGGTACTAAGGCTCTAGAGAGAGGGAGGGAGAAGAGGCCCCACACCCATCTCCTGGGGTTCCCCAGACTTTGACCACTCTGACATTGGCCTCAAGTTCCTCAGCCACTTTCCACTGATGCTAAGGCACTGGGCACATTAGACCAGTGCCTTGGTGGGATTTTGAAATATAACTGAATTAGAAGGTGATATTCCTGGGCTCCAGTCCTGACCTGGTCATCAGAAATAATGACAACAATAGTAATAACAATGATGAAGAGGATGAGAGTAGCGTGACCTTGGACAGGTTACCTAAGCCTCGGTCTCCCCCTCTGTTCAATGAAGGACTTGGACTAGGTGGTGTATCGAGCCCCTACTGGATCTGGATGCCAGGAATTCTAGACTCAAGAGGGTCTGGAAGAAGCAGGAGAAAGGGGGGGAAGAGCTGGCTGGCTCACTGAGGGAACAGGCTCCGAATCCTCTTGCCGCCGGCACTTACCCTCAGCTGTCCCCAGAGACAGAGGCATGCCCACACTTCAAAGGGGGCCAGGGGTGTGGGAAGATGGCCAGGACCCACGTCCCTTCAGGAGGTACACTGACTCCTAAGTCGATCGCATCCTTCAGGCTCATGCTCCACTTTGCCACTCCTTTTGGCCCCCAAGGCTTCCCAAATCCCTCAAGGGAGGTCTCAGATTCCCTGAACCCTATGGTCTTAGGACTGGGGGCAGAAGCTCCTACCCCAGGAGTCCTAGTGACCATAAGAGAGCTGGCAGGGAGGTCCCAGCCCCCAGAGAGCAGCCCCCACCCCCTGCCAAGTCCAAGCCTCCTACCTCCTTATCCAGGGAAGCCTCTAGATGCAAGGGCTTGTCCGACATGAGGAACTGCCTGGTGGTCTCAGCTGTGGGCTGGGGGCCAGGCCTCTCCGGGGCATATTGAACCTTCCTGATAACCAGGCGCACGGAATTCCTAATGGAGATGATGGGCAGAGCAAAAGATAGCCAGAGTCACCTGCCTCCATCCCCTTCCCTTGTAATCCTCCCTTTCCTGCTCAGGAGACAGCCATGGCTCTCCATGGCCTTCAAATCCAGTCTAAACTGTAGAGGTGGACACAGGGGCCTTCTTACCACCTGGCCCCACCCCATCCTCCCCTGTTGTGTCTGCAGCCACCCCCACTTCCTCACTGTCACCTTGATGGTCTATCTAGTCCTGTCTCTGCAGCTTCGCTTGCACTGGGCCCTCGCCTGCAATACCCTCTTCCCACTTTGGCCCTCACTTGCTTCCTTCTTCAAGGCCCAGCTAAATACCTCCTCTTCCAGGAAACCTTCCTGGATCAGCTCACTTGATCTTCTCCTGGTCTGAACTCCCACCCCATCAGAGCCAAACTCCCCCATGGCAGTTCTTCACTGGGTCTGTGTCCTGGCAGCCAGCAGGATGGCAAGAAAGAGACTATGTTTCACTGCCTGCATCCCTTAGGTCACTTAATAGTGGTAAGCTCCTTAAGGAGAGAAAGTTTTATCTACATTGTTCACTGCTGTGTTCTCACCACCTATGACAGTGCCTGCCACATAACAAATGCCTTCCAAATATCCGACCAAAAGATGCGGAGGGGCCCTGTGAAGAAGTGGGGGCTCAGAGAGGTGACGGGGTTCAGTGAGGGGGTTCATTCAGGGGGATGCAGGTCAGTGAAGAGGACAGAGACCCAGTGAATAGATGGGAGGCCAAGAGATGAGATGGGGCTCAATGAAGGTGACAGGGACTCAGGGAGGAAACGAGGACACAAGATTGGGAGGGGATGGGACCCGACAAGGCAGTGTCTGTGGCATGCTGGGTGTCCCGGCATCCCTGTTCCACTCCCTGGAACCGGACAGCCAGGTTTAAGGCCTTAGTTCTCCCCTTACTAACTATATGCCCTTGAGTAAATTCACCTCTGGGTCTCAGTCTCCTCATCTGTAAAACGGTAACAATAGTAACACCTCCCTCCCAGGGTTGCTGAGAAGATTAAATTAGCTTGTACATGTTCATCACTCTGAATAGTGTCTGTTCCTTAATAGGCCCTTGATAAATGATAGTTGCTATATCATTATTAGTAGTAACTTTGGTGTAGACTTAAAATGTTCCAGTGGGGTGTTCCACTGAGGCGGTGGCCCTCAGTGTTGTTTCTCTTCCTTGCTTTGGTGAGGCCTCCTTCAAAAGCCCCCAACCTTCTTTCCCCTGGTCTCAGGTCTTAAGAAGAAAAGGAAGACAGAAAAGCAAGGGAGGGTCCTATCTCCCCACACCCTAGAGTTGGCCCTGCTGGAGATGGAGATGCCTGCAATACACTCGTCAGCCACCAGGTGGCAAACTCAGCTCACTCCCTAAGAAGTTGCAGCGCCCTCCCTCAGCCAGCCTCAGGGAGGATTGCGGCCTGGGGACGCAGGGTGCATCAGAGCTGGGGGGGCTGAGGCCAGCCTCGCCAGGGGGAAGGGCAGGGCCTGCCTTGAGGAGGAGGAGGCGTGAGAGCAGGGCTGGGCAGTCCATCTCAGAAGTCAGGGCCAGCTGTTTCTGGCTGCTAACCTGGCCTGTCTGCCCAGGGCTCTGCTTCTCCAGGAGAACGAAACCTTCTCGGACATGTGGGCTGACCCTCCCCCTGACTCTCCCCAGGGAGGGGGGCTTCGCTGACTCCACTTCCCTCCCTTGCTTCCACTGATCCCATCACCACCCCTGCCTCCAGCCAGCCCCAACCACCACCTGCTGCTAATGGCCTCCCAGGAGGAGAAAGGGGAAGTGGGGAGTCCAGGATGGCTGAGAAAAATCTTGCTCACTGTTAAAAACGATCTGAATTTTGTTTCTTTCCAAAATAAAACGACATGCAGTCTGGCGGGGCAAGCCTAGAGGCAGGGAGATGGAGGAGGCAGGTACGGCCATGTAAAGGGAGAAACGCGGAGGCCCGAGCTGGGGCCATTGAGCCACCTGCCCCAGGAAACCCTCCAAAACCCCTCCATGACTGGCCAGCCTTCCAGCGTGCCCTTCTCGGAGTTCCTGAGGCTGGAATGTGCGGCCCCTCCTCGCACACTTCCAGGTATTGTTACTTATCTCTTCTTCAGACTTCGCTGGCCTTGTCTCCCTCCCTCGGCCGGCAGGCAGCCCACACACCCAGCGGAAGCTGCGCCCTCCTCACCGCTTGTGGATCTTCTCCTCCAGGTTCTCGGCACAGAAGGCTTTGACTTCATAGTCCACACCACAGGCCTGAGGGGAAGGGGCTGCTGACCACAGGGTCCTGGAGAGGGCCGGGGTCCCCACAGCACAGCCATCCCACCCTCTCATTTTACAAACGAGGACGCTGGATAGGAACACCAAACTCCCAAACCCGCCCCTCGCCCCCACCCCCCACCTGACTCAGGACCCAGTGCTCAGCCCCAGTGCTGGGCTGCCTCTGGGGGTGGCTGCCTCCCCAACCTGACCTTCCCACAGAGCTCTCCCAGCTCCCCCAGCGCTGAATGGGCTGAACTGCCTGAACTGGGCTCCACCCTCTGGACCCCTGCCTGGTCTGGGCGGCTGTCCTCATGGAAGCAGCCACACGGAAATAACAACGGATGCCTCCGCAACCCTGTTTGGGGGGCACATACTGTGTGTAGACCCTACAGTGCTTCAGTGTCTCAGTCCCCTCTCAACCACACGAGGCGGCGCATCCTATTGTCCCCATTTTGCAGATGAGGCAACGGGGGCTCAGCTCTGGGGGCTGTGACACTAGGGGTGTCACTTTTCTCAGAACCTCAGTTTCCCCACTTGTGAAACCACAATGAGTGCACCCCCATGCAAGGCTGTGAGGCCAGGTAGTAGTCCAGAGAACATTTTGGTTTCGCTGCAGCCAACAAGCAGCCCAGGAGAGACTGCACATAACGGAATGCTGGAGGGGGGCGGTGAGGATGACACCCTCTGGGCTGCCCTGTATGAAGAGAGACTGCTTGGGGCGCCTGGGTGGCTCAGTTGGTTGAGCATCTGCTTTCAGCTTGGGTTATGATCCCAGGGTCCTGGGATTGAGCCCCGTGTGTCGAGCCCCGTGTGTCGGGCTCCCTGCTCAGCAGGGAGTCTGCTTCTCCCTCTCCCTCTGCTTTTGTTCTCTCTCACACTCTCTCTCGTGCGTGCGCTCTCTAATAAATAAATAAAATCTTTAAAAAAAAAAAAAAAAGAAAGAAAGAAAAGAGACTGCTTATCTGGGGCGGTATTGAAGTGGCCTAGACACAAGGAGACTTCCACACAGAGGGTTCCGGCAGCTCTCAGAGAGAAAGCCAGGGCCCTAGGGATACAAATGTCCTATACCCAGAGAGATGCTCCCGGAGAGGTGACCCACCTTCCCTGTGTCTTCAGGCCCCGGCTGCAATGTCACAGAGCACGGGAGGTTCGGAGGGATCTGTTAAGAGGACAGACAGAATAGGTCTCCTGTCACATTGACCCCTGACCTCCCCATATTGCCCACCCACCACCCCCACACACGTTCTTCAGACCAGGGGCCCCTTAGCAACAGGCCATGTCTCTTCTATCAGACCGGGGGCTCCAGAGGACAGACCATGTCTCCCCCATCAGACCACGCCAAGGATGCCCCACACTGGGCCAGAAGCCCCTCAGCAAAGCCAAGGATGTCAGTGCTTTTCTTTGTCTAAAGGGTTGTGCCTGGCTTGTGGTAGACAGAACAAGAGCCCCCCCTCCCCCCCCCCCCGCAAAAGATGCCCATATCCGAATCCCCAGAACCTGTGCCTGTTAGCTTACATGGCAAAGGGGACTTTACAGGTGTGATTAAGTCAAGGATCTTGAGATGGGGAGAGTATCTGGGATTATCCGGGTGTGCCCGACGTAACCACAAGGGATCTTAGCAGGGAAAGCAGGAAGCAGAAGAGTCCGCGTCAGAGTGGTGGGCCAGGAGAGAGACTGGCTGGCCGCTGCGGGCTTGGAAGATAGAGGGGTAGGCGACCAGCCAAGGAACAGGAGTGGTCTCTAGAAGCTGGAAAGGGCAGGGCCTAGAGCCTCCAGAACAAATACAGCCCTGCGGACGTCTTGATTTTAGCCCAGTGCGACCTGTGTTTGATTTCTAACCTCTGAAACTGTAAGATCATCCATGTGTGTTTTCACACTCCCGTTTCATTCCCACCAGGTTGGCAGTGGCTTGTTAGAGTAGTCATAGGAAAGCGATACATCTACTCTGGACAGGATGACTCTATCCTCTCTCTTTCTCTAGCTTCCCAGAAAGCCAGCGGATTTCACTGAATTACAGAATCAGAGTCTGAGAAACAGGAAATTTTAAAATCCAGAATCTGGGAGCCTTTCCATTTGGGAAAGTGGCAGAGCAGGGAAATCACTACGTGCCACCCCTTGTTTATGAGGAGGGCTGGAGCCGGGCTGGAGAAGCCAGGCATGTGGGCAGCTGGTCTGAGGGAGGAGACAGTCCCATAATGAGTCCGGGGCAAGACAGGGCTCCTTCTTTCTCTGCAGCCTCTCCCCAGCCTGCTCTCTCCCACCGATGAGCTGGACTCCGGAGCGTCCAAGGAGGAGCTCAGAGGTGAGGTGCAATCCTGGCAGTGGCCGGAGAAGAGACGCTGACCAGGCAGGATCAGTGACCGTGCCCCAGGTCCCAGTGTACACTGAGAAACCGAGTGCTGCCCCCATGTGCCTGCCCACAGGGCTTCCCACGGTGGGCGCGGCCGGCCGTCCCTAACCTCAAAGGTGAAAGGATAGGCGTGCTCGCCCAGCTTCTTGATGAGGCGCTCCTGCAGCCGCGTCAGGGCCTTCTTGTCCTCAGGGGCCGGCGGGAAGGACTGCACGTTGGCCACAAACAGGTCCTTGCGGAAGGTCAGGCCCAGGACGTCCAGGTCCTCCCGACCATAGCGGAAGGCGCAGGTCAGTGTCACATAGACTGTGGAAGCAGGGGGCGCTGAGGATGGGCCCAGGAGGGCAGCGAACAAGCCCCCCCAGAGCACCAGCTGAGCCCTGGGATTAGCTCAACTGGAGCTCCCAGGTCTGTCCCAAAGCTGCTGCGGGGAGGACTGTGCTGCCCTGGGGATGGGGGGACGGGGTCCCTGGGAGAGCCACTCAGGCCTGGCCTCGGGGTGGGGGAGATGGGAGCTGACTGCTGGGTGAGTTCTATCCTTCCCCACCCTGACCCCCCCGCCCCGGCTCTGGCCAGTGGAGTGTGCAGGAGCACAGGAGACGTCTGACAGGGTTGGTGAGGGCTGGGGTAGGCTTACAGGATTGGAGGGGAACGGGGGTGGGACTGGGAAAGGGATGTGGCTGGAGAGAGCAGAGGGAGGGGGATATAAGTGCTGAGTGGGGTCTGGAAGGCATGGGGTCTTGTCCTAGCCCAACCCCCACCCCGTGTCTCCCTGCGGATCCTGGACAATCCCTTCACCTCCCTGGGATTCAGTTTTCTCTTCTGTAATGAGACCCTAATCCCTGCCCTAATGGGCATCCCCGAACTTGCAAAAGTCATTTATATTGATGTGAGAGTGCCCGGGGCACTGACAAGTTTCCCCTAAAATGGGCATGGGTGGGCTACCCAGGCCGGAAGAGGCCAGGGCACCTGCTCTGATGTTCGTTGGGGCTGCAAAGGGAAGAGCCAGTGGGGCTGGGCAGAGAAAGGCCGTAGAATTAGTTGATGTTCTGCCTGGGCCTCAGGGAGGCCTTGGGCTAGAGGTTGGTGGGGAATAGGAGGCCCCTTCACAGGCCAGAGGTGGGGACCACCACCTCACCTCTCCTCTCCTTGAGATACTCAGGATCCACCAGGACCACACCATCTGGAAGAAGGACAGAGAGTAAGTAGACCCTCCCAGCTTGACCTCTCAGATTCCTGAGCCCCAAACACCAAGCCAAATCCAAACCTAACCATCTGGCTGTTGAAAAGCCTCATGAGAGAAATGGGGAGGCCAGCACCCAGGGGAGGGCACTGCCATGCCCCACCCCCTACCCGGAGGCTGGCTTCACGGGCCCAGCTGGTGACTTGGGGCACGTTACTTCTCTGTTTCTTCCCTGTTCATAAGAACGACAATATGGGTCCGAAACCCCTACGATCAGGTGTACTTTAAAATTTAGAGGTTCTGAATTGTGGAAAGGCCATGTGGTGCATCCTCCATATATTCCGTCACACCCTCTGCAGGATCTGGGATCAAACCCATTAACACCGTTGCAGGGAAACATGAATATTTTCACCAAGAGCTTCCTATCAGTTGAAGTCAGGTTTTGCCATTGAATGAATCCCACATCAAACTTATCAGCAAGTTTAGACTTCTAGAGGTTCTTGGATTTGGGATTTGCCATCAGGAGTTGCGATCCCATAGAACCGACCTCCCAGGGCTCCTGTGAAGACTGAGTTAATATGTTTAAAGCTGAGACGGTGCCCGGTTCCTGTGATTCCACAGAGAATGTCCCCAGGCCTGGCCGCGGCAGTGCAGAGACCAGCTGGACACAAAGGACATTTTTCTCCCCACAGGACCCCAGAAGGCCAGAAACACAGGCTCAGGGGTCACCTCCTTGCCTGACATCCCCAGGCACCTCTGGCCAAACTTCACCCAGCCACACCCAAGGAACAAGCAAAATTGTCGCTCCCCAACTCTCGCCCACTGCCGCCCTCCCCCCATGCTGCCTGCATAGCAAGCTCTCAGGGAATCTCAGGGGCCACATCCAGAAGGGAGTGTCGAAAGGCTCCTGGTCCTATCCAGTCCCAGGCAGGCCCAAGGGATACCTGGTCAGGGGAATGTCCAGCCCATCCCCAAACCTGCCCATCTTCCCTCCTTCTGCTGTGGGTGTTTCCTCTGCGCCTGAGCACCAGGGGCTCTGTACAAAATCCGGGGAGAGGGCACCCCCCAACTAGGGGTGTCAGGAAAGGCTTCCTAGGGGATGGAAGCAGGAGTCAGGTCTTAAAGGGCATGTAAGGGTCACCAGTTGGATGACCACGGGGCAGCACAAAGTGGACAGGGGGAAGGGTGTGGCTCTGAGGCTTGGGAGAGCACATGCTGGGGGTGGTGGAGGAAGCAAGGCCAGGCCTGACCTGCAGTGTCCTGTCTGCAAGGCTAGGGGCTCGGACTTGCCCTGGAGCCTAACAGGGAACCATGGGGGATAGTTATGCATTGGGAATTCATAATCAGCTCAATGTCGCGATGGGGAAGGTATTTCTCTCTGTGGGTCATTTGGTCAACTCTGGACAGTGGCCCAGAGCTCTCCGAGATCCCCAGGGCCCAGCACAGGGCCTGGCTCAAAGTAGGGGCTCCATGAACACTGACTGAACAGTCCCAGGGTGTGTGCCCTGGGGGAGCCGGTTCCCTCCTGTTCCTGCCCTGCGCCCAGCCTCGGTGCCACCCCCACTTCGGTCCTTAATAGGCCAATGGGTAGGGCCAGCCCTGGCCCCAGACAGTCTGCTGGAAACTGTGCCTTGTAGCAGGCCAGCCAAACCCTGGGATGCTTGCTCACTGCCTCCAAGAGGCCAGCTCAGGGAGGAGATGCAGATGGCAGAGGGGACACTGAGCCAGTGTTCCCAGACAGCACAGGGGAGGAAAGGCGGGGTCGTCCTACTCCAGGCCAGGAAGGGAGGGCCTAATGGGGAGCTGACCTCTCTGCAGGCCACAGCCCTGCACACACCCCCTCAGCAGAGGGACCCCAGGGACTTCCCAGTTCTCCTGCCCCCACTGTCATAAAGGTCTTCCTCCCAGTAAACCAAAACCTGCTGGCTATGCTCTCTCTCCTCCCACCTCAGCTCTGGAGCTGCATGCTCCCTTCCGCCCTCTGGCCCCGGGACAACTCCCAGGGATACGTAATAGAGGCCACATTCTCTGTGAATGTTCCCCATGCGACACATCTAGTTTCTTCACCTGGACTTGGCCTCAGGCATTTTCCAGTGTCCATCCTCCCAATCGGTCACCTCCTTTGGCCTCACTTTGGTTTGTTCTTGTCCCTCTGAAATCATTTAGCCTCTCTGGGCCTCACTGTCCCCATATGTGAAACAGGGATAATTCTGGGCCTCCCTCCCTCCAACAGCTGTGGGAAGAGGCAGTGAGGTCAGGCTCTTCTAACGAGAGCTATGGTTCTTAGAATCCTAACCAGGGGTGACTGTGCCTTCCAGGGGAAATCTGGCAATGTCCAAAAACATTGTTGATCATCCTGCTGGGATGGTGGGGTAGTCCTAAGGTCTAACGGATAGAGGCCAGGGATACTGCTACCCAACGTACAATACACAGGACAGCCCCACCAACAAAGAATTATCTAGCCCAAAATGTCAAGAGTGCTGAGGCTGAGAAACCTTCAGCTAGGGTAAGACTTTGAAAGGTGACTTTAGCCGCAATCCTGCCTCTGCTGAGAACCCCATGTGGGTGAGGACAGACCCCATTCATAAGCCCCAAGGTTTTCTTCCCACCTCCCACCTTTTCATCAGGATGCAGCAGAACAAAGGTTCTGTGGAGCCAGGCTGCCCGGGGTTTGAATCCAGGCTCCTCAACCCACTGGCTCTGTGACCTGGAGAAAGTCACTTAACCTCTCTGTGCCTCATTCTCCTCAGCGGAAAGCAGGGATCATAACGGGGCTACCCCAGTGTCTGGTACGTAATAAGCCTCACTCTGGTGGCTGCTCACCCTCCTCCTTCCCGGCTTCTCCCCTCAATCCCCCCCACTTTCCCCTCACGTGGTCCTCACTGAGGGCCGAGGAGCTGCTCAGTAACCGTGGTAGATGTCTGCCGACTGTCACAGGAAGCCACGCACACCCTGTTCTTGGCACCAGGCCCCTCTGGAGACCTGGGGGCTATTCCCGTGTGGCTTTAACATTCCCTTCTCTAGGAGGGGCCAGGTCAGCCCCACCTCTCCCCACCTTACCCCGCAGCCTACAGGGACTCACCCACAGGGTCCACGAGGTCGATGTGGTCCACAAAGTCCCGCTTTCCCAGATAGACCGTGAGCTGGGGAGGAGAGGCACAGGCAGTGTTAGCAGCTGTGGGCCTGGAGGACACATCCCTGAAAAGCTACTGGCCCTTGCTCTGGAGGAAACCCCGGGAACTGCCTCTGCAGCTGCTAAACCCCAACCCAGACCCACATCAAAGTCCGAACTGGACTTGGACCTGAGCTCCAGCGCTGATACAAACAAACCCTTGTACGATTCTGAAAGCACCTATTTAGCCTAAACCCCTCTGAAGCACTTGTTACTGTTCCCATTTTACAGATGAGGACACTGAGGCCTGAGATCTTCACAGCAAGCGCCACTGAGAGTAGACCGGCAGCAGCAACGTCTGCTGCCGGGAGCGCTGGGCGCATCTCTGAGACAGCAAGGGCAACCCGGGGTGGGGCCGAAGGCACCCAAGCCGGAGCTCTGTGCTCCTCACTGCAGTCTGGCCGGGGTCCACTCATGCTAGGACTGGTTTTCCGAGGCAAAGGAGGAACGGGGAGCCAGTGTCCTGCTAGGTAGCCAGCCTGCAGGGAAGAACCTCCCAAGTGGGAGATTCTAGAATCCACAGTGTCATCCAAGACATTTCCTGTTCCTGCACAGTCCCTGCATCCCGCTGAGCCCCCTCCCTCCATCATCTCTCTCAGTCCAGCCCTCCTCCTCCCCACAGCCTCGGTTGCCTGGACGACGCACCAGACACACCAGCCCCCTTTGTGGCCTGCTGCCAGCAGCCTCACATGCTCTGGACTGGAGGCCTTTCTCCCCTCCTTAGCCAGACTGGTTATCCTAAAATGCAAATCTAACGCTACTACTCCCATCTGAAAACCCTCTAATGGTTCCTGAGCCCAGAGGTATGATGACAAATGGGTTTCATTCCAAATGCCAACTCTGATAGATCGGGGGCTGCCTGGGGCTCTGGGTGGAGAAGGCATCTAAGATGGAATCCTGGCTCAGCAGGAAAGGGTGAACAGTGATTGGCGAGCTCTGCTGCGGGCACAGATGAGAGACGTGGGAGCAACATGGTGCTATTTGCCCGCCCAGGCCGCGAGTCCAAGCTCCTACACCCTGCAACCTGCCTCACCTCAGCTCCCGCTCCCCCTGCCTCCTTCTTGGCACTCTGGTTCAACTGCTGTGGATGCTCCCACACTCCCTGTGAGTTGTGTTCATGCCTAGAATGCCCTTCTTCACCCTGCCTTGCCTGGATACTCATCCCTTTGAGAGAGAAGCCATTCCCGACTGCCCAGGCTGGGTCCCTTCAGCCCCTGGGCATCCCTTGATCTCACCCCTGCCGCTTCACGTTGAAGTGATGGGTTTCTGTGTCTGCCTCCCCCATCTGGCTGTGAGTGGCATGGGCTGTGCCTCATTTGTCTTGGTATGCCCTGTCCCAGTCCCCCCCACTTTGGCCTGGACCCGAGAAGGAATGATGTCAGTAATATCTATTTGTTGAACTGAAAGGAAAGCAGGATGGAGCCTGGGGCCTGTGGAAAGAGAGAAAGCAGGACAGGCCCTGGAAGCTGCTCCAGATAACTAGGTGATGCCAGGGTTCAGCAGAGAGGCTCACGCCAGGGGACTCAGTGCCCCCGAGGCCCTTGGCAGTCTAATTATCACACTCGTACTGAAGTCCCTCTAAGAAAGGCTGGGTCTCAACCTGGAGCAGTGGCTCCCTAAAGTCCCGGGGAGTTGTACGGCCCCCCCCCCAGACAGAAAGTTTCCTGAGCGGTCCCTCCCCCTGTGGTGGACAGCTCCTAAGGACAGATGGGGGTGTGCAGGGAGTGCTGCATGGGCAATAGAAATGCCCAAGAGAGGACAAGAGTTTGGGGCCAGGGACGAGCTGGGGTGTGGTTGTTACAGACTCACCTTTCCATTCGGGCTTGCCTTCTTGAACACCCTATGGACAGAAAGAGGAAGCCAGGATTAGTGCATCCCGCCAGGGGCAAGGCCCCCGCAGGCCATCCCTCGGCAGGACAGAGGAGAAGCGCCTGGAGTGATCTTCAGGCACCGCCCAAGCCTTGACAGCCAGAATAGCGTCTGGCATCATCAGATCTTACCATCTCCGGCGCTACCCCACCCAAGCCTCCATTCTTGCCATTATAGCTCTTGTGGGGTCTGCCATGGCCCCCTCAGCCTCCCTTTCACACAGCAGGCTGAGGGAGTCTCTCAAGATGTGTCAGCCTCTGCCGCTCATTTGCTCAAAGTCCTCGCAGCTCATGCAGAAAAAAAGCCCTGTGTGTGTGGTTGGCCCTGCCTCCCCTTTACCCCTGGGCATCACCGCCCGCTCTCCCTCACCCCTCCAGTCACAGCTGTTCTTCCAACACACTAGGGTGGGTCCTGCCTCAGGGCCTTCAATGGAGCAGTACTTGCCCCTAGATGCTCCCCACCACAGATCTGCTGGCCCAGCCCCATGCCTTCCGTGATGGGGCTTCACTGTGGCCTCACCCCACACTCCCTCTCCTCTTCCGGCTCTATTTACTTTCCCACAGCACTCAGCACTTGCTAACCTACTACACAAGCAACTTGCTAATTTATGCCTGTCTGCTCTGCTAACATGGCAGCTCCACGAGCCAGAGAGCCTGGTCTTTCTTCTCCACTAATGTGTCCTGAGTCCCTAGAATGGCGTCCCTAGTAGGTGTTTAATAAATCTGTGTTAATGCGTGGCACGTAGCAAGCGCTCGACAAATATTAGTTGAGTGGGTGCATGAATGAATTAGTGAAGGAATCAACTGAGAGACTGAGGCCCAAGAAAGACAGGGGACGTGCCCATGGCCACACAGCAGAGCACTGGACGCTGAGTCAGGCAGACACGTGGCCCCCAACTCCTGCCAAGTGCTCGCTGGGCCTTTTAGAGCTGGGTCTGGGAGCCTGAGACCCCCTCACCTAGCCTCATCATCTAGCCCCAGAATTGCTCAGAGTAATGCTGGGAGGAGAGAAGAAAAAGGAAAGAGGCAGAGCCTAGAGAAGGTACTGGAGGAAGGAGGGAGGGAGGGAGAGGAGGGGAGAGGGACACTGCCCTGCAGGTGTGAGCATAACAGATGGAATGAGAGATGAAACAAACAAACAAACCAAAAACCCAGAGCATGGAGCGGGCCCCCAGGAGCAGGAGGTGCAGCAGGCCACCAGGGCAAGTGGGGTGAAGCCCAGAGTGCCACGGGGACAGTCGCTCTTCCCAGAAGGGGCATGGGGGTGGCTCTGCACTGTCTCCTCAGCCCCCACCCCACCCCCACCCCAACTTCTGGGGCCCAAGGGACCACTGAGAGGGCTGAGCTTGGCTTGCAAAGAAGGCCCTGGCACTTCTCTCCCCCACCTCCCCTAGTTCTGGGCTTTTCTCCTCCTCATAAATATTTATCAGTATTTGGAGTGTGAAAATACCATAGTCAGCTGGGGTGTAATAATCGCTAAAGTGAGAAAAAATACAGATCACACAGTTTGAACCAGCAGCTCCCAAGCTAGGGCTGGACCTGCGCAGGAGACCAGGAGACCAGAGAAGTCACAGGGACCCCCAACTGCTTCCAGAAACCTCAGTCCACCGCTTAGGAGCCCGGGGCCTGAGAGAAAGGAGAGACCAGAAATGCCTGAGTTATAAGTGAGTCAGGGGAAGCCACTCGGGTGATTCTGGAGAGAAGGGAGGAGCATCCGCACCACAGGAGGGGGCTGGGGGCCAGGCTGGGGGCAGTGACAGTCAAAAAGGGAGGGAGGGACGGAGGAAGGGCAGTAAGACAGACAGAACTAGCATTTGTTGACTGCCTAATTAGTTCTTTCTCATAACACACTGTGAAATGGGCATTATAACTCCCATTTTACATATAATGAACTTGAAGGTCAGAGAGATACAGCAATTTGTCCAGGGACACAGAGCAAGCCAAGAGGCTAAGTCAGGATTCAGACCCAATTCTGTCTGCCTCCAGAGGCTGGGTACTTTATATCCAACTCTGCTGCTTTTCTAAAGCAGGTGTCTTTTTTTTTAATCAGCTTCAGGGGAAAAGCAGAAAAGAGGGGAAATGAGTCTGGAGAGGGGAGGGGAGGGCAAAAGGATGAAAAAGTGAGTAAGAGGCGAGAAGGAGAGTGAGGGCAACAAGGGCAGGAAACATGGCCAGTGGTTGGGAATGTCCTGTGCTAACTCAATCAGCCCCTGGGGCCACCTCCTCAGGAAGCCGGGACTCTGATGGCTTCCTCAAACAACAACAGCAGCTTCCCATGCCCCGAGCACATGTTCTGCCCCAGTCCTGCCTCTCAGTATTTTTCCCAGAACACTGCTGATCCTTCAACAATCCCATTTCAGAGATGAGGAAACTGAGGCTCTGGGAGGTGAACTCTGGCTGTGTGTCTCCAGAGCTCAGGTCCTATCTGCTCTGTTGCACAGCCAAGCCCTCCCTGAAACAACCCCACTGGCTTCCCGACCCCATCACTGTCAGGAAAAAGCCACCCCCCCCCCCCCAACCACGACCCATCTGTGCCCCACCAGCCTGATTCTCAGAGTCAAAGCTGAGCCCAGTAAGAGAAACACTGGGGGTGTTCTAGCTGACTAAGGCTCACTGGAGACAAGGAACAGAAACCCAGCGAGGGTGGCTCGAGAAAAGGAGGAGGGACAATAAGGAGACCAAACTCTCACGGGAAGGACGTGCAGGCAGGACGCAGGAGTGCTGGAGCCAGGACCAGGAAAGCCATCAGCCTCTCAGGCGGTTGCTCTCTCTCCACCTCTTCCCTGGGGCTGCATGTTCTCGGGGCTGCGCTGCTCTCCATGTGGCCGCTCCATTGTCTCTGGGGACCGACTCTCTCTGCTTACTCAGGGCTTTTCTGCCCCTCCGTCATTTTCGCTTGCATGTGGCTCTCACCCCGACCCTGTTTCTGCTCTGCCTCTCACTCAGCTTCGCACTGTTAACTGGCTGAATGGCCCAATTCCAAATTCCCAGGAGAGGAATTTGATTGATCAGCTTTGGTCAGGTGCCCCCAGCCTGGACCAATCAGCTAAGTCGAGGGTGTGTCATGTGTTCCATGAGGCTTGGGTGGAGGAGGGTCTACGGAGCAGTGTTTTACTAATCGGGGGTCGCAGCCCATTAGTCGATCACGAAATCGACTTAAAAGGGTTGCCACCGGCACGTCCTTGTTTTGTTTTAATGGACTAGAAGACATCAGCGTGACTTACAGATAGCAGGGGTATAGCAGATATTACTATATTCACTAATATTCCATTTCCCTCTAAGGCTGAGCAAATTTCTCCAGTCCTATGAAGTTAGGCATGCCCACATGGCATGTGAGATATGGCCAATGAGATAGAAGTGTCACATGTCACTTCCGGGCAGAAGCATGTAAGGGCTAGTGCACGTTTTCATGTCCTACAGAGCCTGTAACAAATGACCACAAACTAAGTGGCTTAAAACAACAGAAACTTATCTTATGGTTTTGTAGGTCAGAAGTTCGAAATGTACCCCCACTGGCTCAAAATCAAGATGTTGGCTGGGCTACATTCTTTTCCGGAGGCTTCAGGGTGAATCTGTTTCCTCACCCTTCCCAGCTTCTAGAGGCCACCCACATTTGTCTCAGGGCCCCCTCCTCCATCTTCAAGGCCAACCACAGCAGGTTAAATTCTTATTACACTGCATCATTCTGGCCTCTTCTGCCCCCCTCTTCTATTTTTACAGACCTTTATGAATACATTCGGCCCCCTAACTTAAGGTCAGCTGATTAGCAACCTTAATTCCATCTGCAACTGTAATTCCCCTTTGCCATGTAATATAACATGCGCAAAGGTTCCAAGCGTTAGTATGTACACATCTTCAGGGTGCCATTCTTCTATCTACCCCACCCTCCTTCCTCTGCCACTGAAACCAGAAACCATCTGGAGGGAGAAGACTTCCGTAAACTAAGTGCCAGGGCTCTCCTATTACATGATAGATGTGTAGCATGACAGAAAAAGAAAGCTCTTACACCACTAAGATTTGGGGGTTGCTTGTTACTGCAGCAAGCCAGCTTCTCCTGGCTGATACAAAAAGTATTATTTAGTAAAACCTTCATTTTAGGATAACTGAGTTACAAGGTTAAGTGAATTTCATGTTGCAAATTTTTAGATTTTTTTAATCCACTGTTCTAGAGAAACATGCCTAAAATGACATGTTCTATCAATGTCTGTGCAGTCAATTGAATTGTGTTTCCTGATTTGATTCCATCAGGGTGGTGCTCCCAGGTGGGCAGGCAGGTCAGCTCTCCAGTAACCAGAATATTGTCTTTTCCAGTGAGTCCCATTCCCCACCTGCAGCAGGGGATGCCTTTAATAATCTGCTGCCCTTCTGTGAGCCACCTAGCCTCCCAGTGTCCATTTGTGCCTGCACCATGAGGGACCCATGACAGATTAGCCAAAAACCAAAAGTTTATGATTCTGTGTGGTATAGCCAAACAATGGAATATTACATAGCACTGAAATTACTCTTGCATTTTTACAACACAAGGAAATGCCTGTGATAGAATATTGAGCAGAAGAAATCAGGATTCAAAACAATGTATTTGGCATGAGCTCAACTTTATACTCAATAAGTACCAAAAGAAAGAATGAGAAGACTTAATATTAACATGGCAATACTTCCCAAATTGATCTATAGATTTAGTGCAATCCCTATCAAAATCCCAGCTGGCCTTTTTTTTTTTTTTTTTTTTTTAGAAATGAACAGGCTGGGGGCACCTGGGTGGCTCAGTCGGTTAAGCACCCACCTTGGGCTCGGGTCATGGTCTTGGGATCCTGGGATCAAGCCCCACGTGGGCAGGTGGGCTCCCTGCTGAGTGGGGAGTCTGCTTTTCCCTCTCTCTCTCTCTGCCCCTCCCCCTGCCTGTGCTCTCTCTCTCTCAAATAAATAAAATCTTAAAAAAAGGAAAAGAAAGAAAGAAAAGAAAAGAAAGAAA